AGTTGTGATGTGTTAAGCTTGCTTTACGGGGCCAAAGCAATCTTCAATGGGCCCGGGAACAATGTGCAAACTAAGGTCGTATTGTTGCTTCAATGACTGAATCATTTTTTCACTCAATAGGAACGGTAGCATCTCTTTGTATGCCGCTGACTTCATTTCATTCAGTATTAGTCAATTGGGAACTAGATCAGTAGCTAAGGTGCCTTGACTGCTCTAGAAAGAGAGTGTGCTCATGCAACGTACGTCACGTCACTACGGTATCTAGCGCCTCGGACGAGGGAGAGAACTCAGAGCCAATATCATGCAGCAGATTTCGTGGATGAGGCTATGTAGGTGAAAACCGGAGTAGGGAATCTGATGGATTCTTGTTCTGTTACTGCTCTGTGTGTGTGTGCGTATGTGTGTGTGTTGGTATTGAACCGTTTAATACTATGTCAGATTTCGCCTCATTTTTGCACACAAACTCCGGTGTTTTGTGTTTGTGCCCAATCAATTATCTATGGTGGTGCTAACCGATTTTCATGGATGCTAACACGGGGTTAGGAGCCCTTTAACCACTCCGATCGATAAAACAACTCTACCACTGTGCCTGTTTTGGCCAGACAAACGCATGCGGCGAACGTTGACGACACACGGTCAGGTGAGAACGTGTCGCTGCACCCGGTCGATACATGGGCTTGAGCATCGGATTCCTATGCATGAAGCATGTGGACGCACCGATCGTAGACAGACAGCATGTGTTACTCCGTCGATCCGAGTGTTTATTCAGCCAATCGCAGATACGTGGATAGCTCTAGGGCCAGTGATTAGAGTGTACATTAAAATGCGCCCAATGCGACGGTGCGTGCTCGCCCCTTGGGTGCACATCGGATTCACCGTGTGCGAATACGACGCTTTGCACGCTGAATATTTTACGCCCACTGTGAAATCGGTGGGACGTAACGGGAAGCCCTCGAAATTAGGAGGGCGTGGACAGTCGAGGTGATTTAGTAGCCAAAGCGTTTCCTGCGTTACATTGCAGCTTCGAACAGAAACTTTTGTTTTGAGTAGTCGGTTGGCTCTCACACCGTTGCCAGTAAAATCACACACACGGTACGGTGTTTATCTGGATCCACAGTCGGTGTATGTCAGTGTACAATTTTTAACTGAAATGTAAGCATATCTCAGCTTGCAAAAGTTATACAAATACAAACTATGAACCAACAAAACTCTAACTTCAAACATGGATTCGTCGTGTATATAGCAAATGAAGCGTCAACTGAAAAGCTAGGAAGCACTGGACAGCTGTTTTGACCTGGTCGGGTTTCATCAGCAGTGGGAATCCATGAACCCAACTGGGGATCGAACCCAGAACATCACAGGCAGAATGCAGGCGTACTACCCACTCGGCCAACGGGGAGCTGATCAGACCATTTTTCATTTTCCATTTATACGATATAACACAACTCATCTTTGCCAGCTTATTGCGGGCCACAGATCGCGCTCATCTCAGCACTAGCCTCCAGGGTTATGACTCGGTTGGAAACATTCACAACCTGACTACTTGTTTCATTGGAGGATTTCATTCAATTTCACATAGGAATTCGCCATGTTTATAAATCGGTCAATGGATTCACACTGCTACAGAGACCCAACCAGGTAGAAACAGCTGTCCAGTGCTCCCAAGCTTTTTAGTTCACGCTTCATTTGCAATATAAACGACGAATTCCCATTTGAAATTGAACCAAATCCTCCATTACTCAATTGAAAACTCCAGTTATTTGAATATTGCACATAGACGATCACAGGAATGCACAAAAAACAACCATATAAAAATACTGAATGAAAGTGTCACAAAAAAGTGTGAAACAGAGTTCTTTTTCACCTGTATATGGCTTTTCGTCGACCTCTTCGTACACACTCAATCAATCGGATATCCGCAAATGAGATATTGAATTCACCATCGAAATACCTGTAATTGGGTTTAAACAAAACTGTGCGTCAGCAGGTGCTAAATAAAACCGGATTTTACAAAGGCAAATTCAAAAATAAATTCGGAAACTTCTAGATTGTAAGCATTTCAAATGACATCATTCACTTGTGCTGTGACCCTCATTCATTCATTTATCTTAGTTTGTTCGAAAACCGAACTGACAGATTCCGAAATTAGTAGTACCTTATCTTGGGGAAGGAGTGTCTGACTAGTGAGTATATGCAAGTTACAGAAACACATCAAAGTGTGGGTATGTGATTGATAAGAGTCGGCGTAATCCTGTTAGGGTTCGATACACGGTTTATTTCATTGGTTTACTTTGCAATCCTCTTTGGCTTCATGTGGTGATCCAGGCCTATATGATGACGCCTACCCTAGAGCGGCGCGTTACAGTTTCTGGACGCATGCGATTAATCAAATTTGAATGCTGACGTCAATGATGCGCGTACGCGTCACGACTTCTGACTAGACGCCATTGGTGGACCGTGCCAGTCAATCAAGACAGTGCAGGCAGAAGCATAATCAAGCAAGCAGTATTGTAATATGATTGATAGAAGCTTAGATAACCAATAATCTTCTTTTGCACATATTATTTAATCACCCTCATTTCTTCCGAGAAGCGAACTACTTACTACCATTCCTGTGGCCTTTTCCTCGCGCCTGGTTTACGTGGGAGATTGTGAGGTCGTGCAATCGCGGTCCAGTGCTTCTGTAATCCAGTCTGTGGTAGCTGATCGTTGATTCGTGTCCTGTGATTCCTACTGCGTGGTTTGCATTTCGAATCCCGTGCGTATTACTACTACTACTACTACTACTACTACTACTACTACTACTACCGCTACAATCATTACAGTTCATATTGATTTTCTGTAGTAATTTGCGTTCTCCGGAGTTCTATTGATGTTCAGAAGCGTTACACAGGTGTTACATTGTAATGCTTGATAAACAATTTGAATGACGCATCTGGATAGTGCACCAATCATATTTGTCCAATATCCAGATGCTCATACCAAGATCAACATGGAATCTATCGGAAGGTTTGCTCTGCGCATACAATGCCGTCCTTGACAAGCCGGGGTTGGAGCAAACCACTTAAGGAATTACGTGAGCTAAGCATCACCGAACCACAAACACACTAAGCAAATTTGTGGCATTATTCGTTGTGCTGTTGTCTGTTTATAAGCATCCCGCTCATTGGCTCGACC